GGCAATTTATAAAGGAAAGAGGCTTAATGGACTCACAGTTCCACATGGCTGGGGAGACCTCACAATCATGGTAGAGGGCAAAGGAGAAACAAAGGCACGTCTTACATGGCAGTAGGCAAGGCAGCTTATGCAGGGAAACTCCCATTTAAAAAACCATCAGATTCTGTGAGACTTATTCACTACCGTGAGAACAATATGGGGGAAACTGCCACCATGATTCAGTTATCTCCACCTGGCCCTGCCCTCCACATGTGGGGGTTATTACAATTTAAGGTGCTATTTGGGTGAGGATACGGCTGAACCATGACAGGGAATATTGCCATTTTAATAAATAATTGTTAAATCTTTCTACTTTTTTTTTTTTTTTTTTTGAAATGGAGTCTCACTCACTGTGTTGCCCAGGCTGGAGTGCAATGGCACGTTGTTGGCTCACTGCAGTTTCTGCCTCCCAGGTTTAAGTGATACTCCCGCCTTAGCCTCTGGGTGTGCGCCACCATGCCCATCTAATTTTTGTATTTTTAGTAGAGACTGGGTGTTTCACCATGTTGGCCAGGCTGGTCTCAAACTCCTGACCTCAAGTGATCCGCCTGCCTCGGCCTCCCAAAGTTCTGGGATTACAGGTATCAGCCACCACACCCAACCCTTCGTACCTTTTCTGATACAAGTATTTGAAAATATAAATTTCCTTGTAAGGATTTTTAGCCTCATTCTATAAATTTTGATATATTGCATATCTTCATTATCATTTAGTTCAAAACATTTTTTGACCTTTGAATTATATGGAAAGATATTTTTTAAAAATATTTGATTTTCTCACATAGTTTATTGTTACTAATTCCTAATTGTAATTTTGTTTTGATCAGAGAACACACTGTATAATTTCAGTCCTTTTAAATGTGTTGAAACATGTTTAATGGCCCAGAAAATAGCCTCTCTTGGTGAACGTACTGCGTACTCCTGAAAAGAATGTGGGTTCTGCAGCTGTTGCTGTCGGCAGTGACGTGCTGGAGCTGCATCAGATCAGGTTGCGGGAGATGATTGTGCACATCTCTCCCCAGCTCCTTGTGTGATGATGTCCTGTTGGTAGCCAGCGTCTGCCCTGGTGGGAGCCTTACACAGTGGACGTCTACAGAATCTACAGATTAGGGTTTTTTTTTTTCTTTTCTCTTTTTTTCCCACAGAAAGCCAGCTTATCAGTATGCCACTGGGTGTAGAATGTTATAACTGCCCATTAAGTTATGACCTAAGGTGATTGATAGTCTTAACAGATCATCCAAGTCATGATTGATATTTTTCCTTTGGTCTAGTTGCTGAGAGGAATGTTGAATCTCATCCTATGATTGTAAAATTTTCTTCTTTACCCTTTAATTCTGTCAAATTTTCATATATTTGAGGCTGAGGCGGGCAGGTCACCTGAGGCTGGGAATTTGAGACCAGCCTGGCCAACATGGTGAAACCCCATCTCTACTAAAAATACAAAAATTAGCCAGGTATGGTGGCAGGTGCCCATAGTCCCAGCTACTCTGGAGAGTGACGCAGGAGAATCACTCACACCCGGGAGGTGGAGGTTGCAGTGAGCTGAGATCACGCCACTGCACTCCAACCTAGGCGACAGAGCAAGACTTGTCTCAAAAAAAAAAAATTGTTTTTAAATATATTTTGAAGCTCTTGACACGTGGGAATTATTTGCAATTTTGTCTTTTAAGTAAATGGACATTTATTATGAAATGTGTCCCTTTTTATCCCTGGTAGTAATCTGTCGTCTGATAGTTACAGTTTCTTTAGCCTCTTCTTATGTTTAGTGTTTGCATGATTATCATTTTTCATCCATTTGCTTTCAACCTATATGTATTTTTATATTTAAATTGTATCCCTTATGTCAACTTATAGAGCAGTCTTACTGCTCTGCCCCTTCTGACCATCTCAGTCTTTTAATTGTAGTGTTAGCCTATTAACATTTGTTATAATTATTTATAGATTAATTTTAGGCCTACCATTTTGGTTTTTTCTCCCCTTAAAAATTTTCTTCTTTCCTGCTTTCCACCATTCTTTAGGATTATTTGAAATTTTTTTATAGTTCCTTTTTAATATGTCTGTTGGTGTTTATGCCTCTGCAGAGAGGATGTGTGTTTGTGTGAGAAAGAGAGAGAAGGAGGAATAAAGAGATTGCTCTAGGGATATAATACACATTTTTTTTTCTTAACACTCTACTTAGAATTAAGATTGACATCATAGAAAATGTAGTGGAATTGTAGTTGTATAGTTCCATTTACTGTCCCTATCCCTCAACTTTATATTACCTCTACATATGTTTTTAAACCCACAAGACGATATTATACATTTTTGTTTTAAGCTATCCTTTGTATTTTAAACAGTTAAGGGAAAAAAAGGTATATGTACCGAGATATTTACTGTTTATACTGCTCTTCTGCCCTCCTAAAGATGAAGGATTCTATTGTAGTGTCAGTTTGTTTCTACTATAATGCAGGTCTGTACTCCGAATTCGCTTAGTTTATTTTGCCTGAAAATAGTGTTATTTTGCCTTCATTTTTGAAGGTGTTTTCACTGGCTATAGAATTACACTGATTTCTGTTTTCTCTTTCAGCCCCCCCCCCCCCCCTTTTTTTTCCCCCACCACTAAACATGTTATTGCACTATTTTCTGGCCTTTGTAGCTTTTGATGAGAAGTTACTGGTCATTTGAATTCTTTTTCTATTACGTTATTTTTCCGTCTGCTTTCAATATTTTCCCCCTTTTGGTTTTCTAGCCATTTTTATCTTTTTTTGCCTCTCAAAAGGTGATCATTTTTGTTGGTCTGTCTTCAAACACATGACTCTTGTCTTTATTTTGTTGTCAAGACCATCCAATAAGTAAATTATTCTAGATTTCCTAGTATTTCAGTTCTAGGTTTTTTTATTTTGTTCTTTTTTCATGGTTTCTATTTTTGTGCTGCATTGCTGCAACTTTCATTGATTATGAACATATTTTTCTATATTTTTTATTATAATTGTTGCTTTAGAGCCTTTGTCTCCTAATTCCAACATTTGGGTCATCTCCAGCTGGTCTGTGTTACAGATTGTCTTTTGTCTTGAGAGTGGGTGTCATTTTCTTTAAATCAACAATGTTGAATTGTGCCATTCCCCTCTTCCAACACTAGGCCACTTTTCAGTATACGCCTCCTTTTGGTTGTTCTCTGATACCTTCAAGATCGTTGTTTTAAGATTTTTTCCAGAGTTTATCATTATTTGCCAGAAATGTGGTTAGGTACTTTGGTACCAAAATTGGACTCATGGTTTAAGTAATTTAAAGTTTCAAAGGCTCCGCAGTGACTATTAGGATGAAGATGGACTGGAGGTAGGGTTAGAAAGGAGATGTGTTCTCTGTTCGCAGGAAAGCAATAATTTACGAGAAAGTTAATTGGTCAAAGAACAAAACAAGCAAATGATTTAAAGACGTACATATTCAGCTAAAAATGAAGAACTACGTCTAGAAACAGTTAAAGATGGTTCTCACTGTGGGTGGGGAAGGTTGGATCATAACACTCTGGCTTGTTCTTCAGTTGTTTTGCATTGTTTCATCTCTTTAATTTAGATGTAAGTTGATCCTAAATTGTCATAAGCTGGAAATCTCCTAACCTCTATTGTCTAATGTTTTCCATTCCTGATTAGATAATGATGAGCAGTGGTGCTAATTTGGGAATGAATGTGGCGTTAAACTCAATAGAAGCTTTAAAACAGCTTTTAAGAAGTGTTCATTTTGTTTAAATTGTGCCTTTCTATCTGTTTTGTGAGGCCCCTTGCCTGTGTGTGAGTGAGGTCATCTCTGAGGCATGGGCTTGGAGGAGGAAGTAATGGTGGGGAGGGACGGTGTTCTGGGCACTGAGCTTTCCTCCACAAGGAATGCCAGGTGAGAAGAAAGGATTCTGTAGCCAAAAGTTTAAAACCCCTAGCCCTGCTCTCTTGTAGCAACTGCTACATTGATTCAAGCGCATCCCAAAGTCAGTGCACATAGTACAGTAGCGGGCCAGGTATCCGTGATGACCCATCATCATCATTGCATCAGTGCACACTCGCGTGCAGCCTTGTTCTTTCTGTCAGCAAGTCATTTAAGGACCATTGCAAGAATCTGCCCTTAAGAACAAACCTTTTGATAGCAAGAAAGCTCAGGATCAGACTTACAAAATGGATGGGTACAGATTAGGAGAAAATCCTGAAATTAGTCTTGGACTACTACTAAGAAGTGTTAACGCTTAGTGGCTCAGAAGACAGCGTTGTCTGGAAAACACAGACATCCTTAGTAAGAATCATAATGATTCAGAATGGACTCTATGTGAAAACATTTTTGTAATGTCCTAGCCAATCTATGTAGCTTTTCTGTATCTACTTACAAGAATGTTAGAATAAATTTGTTAAGTCTGAAACAGATGATTCTTTAGTAAGTACAAATAAAAATTCCATCTGATAAAATGCATTCTAATTGGCGGCATTTTCTTTTCTTAGTGATACTTAAAGTAATGATACATGTTACCATTGATATCTTAGCTGAAATTTGATAAATGTATTGCAGTCTTTTTAACCACCATCTATTCCATGACATTGTTAAAAGCTGCATACTTTATCTTCAGATGGATCCGACAATGGATTTAACTAATTCCCTTTGTTTGACAGATAGCTTGTTACAAGTTTTTTACCATTAGGAGCAATGCTGTGATAGTTTGCTAGCTAAGTATGTGTACACTTCCGTGATGATTTCCGTGTGACAAATGCTTATGAATATGATTGCTGTATCAAAAGGAATGCACTTGTTGAAGGCTTTTGAGTGTTTCTAGGTTTCACTCCAGAAACAGTGTCATTGTGTATACTCTTACCTCAAGCATATGGAAGCTCCCATTTTCCTTCACTTTAGCTAGCGTTGGGTTTGTTTTTTAAAAAGCCTTCGTTAATTTAGTAGCTGGGAAGCAGTAGATTGCCAAGGAACAAAGTCAGGCTGAACTAAATAACCTAAAACATCCTGGAACCAAGCACGTAAAATTGAGTGCTGTGAGAAATACAGTGAAGTTTAATGCTGTGCACAAAAGTGAGAGGGAATCTCCAGGCATCTGAAGAAGAGAAAGAAGAGAGCTAACAATGAAGGCGCTAACCACTGTGAGCATCTGTGTGGCAGCATAAGGATGTGAGTGAGGTGCGCTGGCAGGTAGGGTCACACAGAAAAGGAAACAAAACCTTGTTCCTGGCTGGGAGGGGGTTGGGAGCTGACATTTCCATGGAAATCTAGAAGACAGAAACCTAAATACCTTTTAGTGTGTAGGTGAAAAAAAATCATGATCATCATCAACCAGGAAAGCAAGTAGTAAAGTATTTAAGCTGAGCTCTGGATATAAGGAGAGTGGGGAAAGTCTGTCTTTAGAATAAAAGAACAAAACACTATGGAAAAAAGGACAAGTTTTTAAAAGAAAAATTCTATAAATGTCAAAATGAAGTCATTAAAATTAAACAGTAAAGTTGGCACAGCTGAAAGAGAATCACTTAACCCATGGAAGATCAGAAAAAATTAGAAAGTTTGAACAAAGATAAAGCGATAGAAGATGATTGAAGACTTTTAACTGAGGTATAGAAGGTAACATGAAAATGTCCCACATACACATAAGAGAAGAGCTAGGAGAAAATAGAAAGGGGACCAGAAATACTTGAAAAGGTAATAGAATCTTCCAGAATTGTTGTAAGACAAAGTAGGCATGTCATATTTTAAGGTAATTAACCATGACAAGAATGTGTAACTCCAAAATAAAACAAGCCATAATGGAGCAAGTAAACTACCATTCCAGTAGAAGGGGAAAGAGAGGAAAACCAGAAACATAGAAAAAGAATTAAAATAGAAAATACAAAATAGGATGGTAGAAATTAATCCAGATGTTGTATTACACAAGCGTGTAAAACATTTATACAAATAAACTGTTATACAAATATGTATAAAACAGTTTACCTAAAACCAAACTTGCCTATCAAATAATATTAGACTCAACTTTTTTTTAAGTGAATTATGCTGTGGTGGTTGACAGTAGACACACCAAGACACAGAAACAAAGGTTGAAAATAAAGGGCTGAAAATAAATGTTTCCAAAAACATTTAAGGAGAATTCTCACCAAATGGTAGGTGTAATAACATCAGATATACTAAGTTTCTAAGGCAATATTGTTAGGAATAAACATGGTTACTTCCTAATGATAAAAGGTATAAGTTACCAGGAATATAATTTCAGATATGTGTATTAGTTAACACTGCCTTAAAATATGACAAGTATTTTAGACAATTAGAAATTGGTAAAACCATTATTGGGAGATTTCACTAAAAATTTCTTGGTAATTAATAAGCAGACAAATCAGAAACAATATAGAAGATGTGAAAAATAGAGCTGACCAGCAGTAACAGGTCCCTGTATCCAACAGTGAGAGATGGGCATTCTTCTTAGGCACATGCAAAATGGTGGCCCACCCTGTTCTGGCCCAGGAGAAATTACATACTCAGCGACGAGTCTCATCACATTTTAAAGCAACAATCAAAAAGATAACATTCTCATGTTTCTGCAATTTAATTTTAAAATGAAATTTTTTTGAAGGTAAAAAAATACATTTTGGAAATCTGAACTGTTTAACTCTTAGAACGAACAGTGGAAAAGAGAAAATAGAATTGAACGAGAAGGAAAATATAAATACATCAGATTTATGTGATGCAGCCAAAGTGACATGTAGAAGAAACTCTGTACCTTCTGTGTAGTATGAACATTTTATAAGTATTCAAGTGCTTATTTAAAAAAAGAAAAACTACAAAGTCAACCAAAACAAGGATTTATCCAGAGAAACCATATGTAAGGAAAAAAGTAAATGAAAAGGAACAAATGAAGTAAAGATACAGTAATGAAAATTATTAAAACCCAAAATACGTAGTTCTTTAAAAAACTAAGAGACAGGCCTCTGGCAAAATTAATGATTTTTAAAAAAATGGTTTTGAGGCGCCACACACTGTACGCACTTAAAACAGCAAATTTAATCCATTAATGTATGTGTCTGCGCCACCGACTGGCCTTTACCCCATCTCTCTTTGGCCTCCCTGCTCCTGAGACACAGCAATACTGAATAGAGGCCAATTGATAACCCCACAATGGCTTCAAAATGTTCAAGTAAAAGGAAGAGTCGCATGTCTCTCACTTTAAATCAAAAGCTAGCAGTGATTAAGCTGAATGAGGAAGGCATATTGAAAGCTGAGATAGGCCAAAAGCTAGGCCTCTTGTGCTAAACAGTTAGCCAAGTTGTAAATGCAAAGGAAACGTTCTTGAAGGAAATTAAAAGCACTGCTCTGGTAAATGTATAAATGATAAGAAAGCGAAACAGGCATATTGCTGGTAAGTAGAAAGTTTGAATGGTCTGGATAGAAGACAAACCAGCCACGGCATTCCCTTAAGCCACTGCCTAATCCAGAGCAAGGCCCTAACTCTCTGCAATTCTGTGACGGCTGAGAGAAGTGAGGAAGCTACAGAAGAAAAGCTAGAAGCTAGCCAAGGTTGGTTCATGCGATTAAAGGAAAGAAGCCATCTTTTATAACAGTAGTGCAAGGTGAAGCAGCAAGTCCTGATGGAGAAGCTGCCGCAAGTTAGCCGGAAAACCTAGCTAGGATCGTTGAAGGTGGCTGCATAAACAACAGATACTCAGTTGAGTCAAAACAGCCTTCTACTGGAAGGAGATGCCACCTAGGACTTTCATAGCTAGAGAGGAGAAGTTAATGCCTGGTGTCAAAGCTTCAAAGGACAGGCTGACTCTTAGGGATGAATGCAGCTGGTGACTGTTGAAGCAAGTGCTCACTTACCATTCTGAAATCCTAAGGCCCTTAAGAATTATGCTAAGTCAAGCCAGTGTGGTGGCATGTGCCTGTATTCTCAGCTTTCCAGGAGGCTAAGGTAGGAGGATCCCTACAGACCAAGAGTTTGTGGCAGTAGTGTGCTATGATCATGTCTGTGAATAGCCACTGCACTCCAGCCTGGGCAACATCATGAGATCCAGTCTTTTTAATAAAAACAAACAAACTCTGCCTGTTCCCTAGAAAGGGATGTTAAAACCGTGATAAACCACAGTACACATGCACAGTCAAGGTTGTGGGTGATGAAAATTCATGCACTACAAAGTGGCTGGACAGCCACTTTCTAGCACCAAGATGGCAACTGGTAATAAGTTGAACCCATGACTTTGGAAGGCCAGTGCGGGAGGATTGTTTGGGACCAAGCCTGTGCAATATATAGCAAGACCCCATCTCTAGAAAAAACATTTTTAAAGGGCCTGGCACAGTGGCTCATGTCTGTAATCCTAGCAAATTTGGAAGGTTGAGGCAGGCGGATTAGCTGAGGTTGAGTTCAAGACCAGCCTGACCAACGTGGTGAAACCCCTGTCTCTACTAAAAATACAAAAATTAGCCAGGCATGGTGGCAGGTGCCTGTAATCCCAGCTACTCTGGAGGCTGAGGCAGGAGAATCACTTGAACCCAGGAGGCAGAGTTTGCAGTGAGCCGAGATGACATCACTGCACTCCAAGACTGTAAGACTGTCTGGAAAAAAAGTCTCACTCTCTTGTCACCCGGTATTTCTGTGCTCCAGGAAATTCGTACATGTGTGCAAGGAGAACTGCTAGTTTTATTCTTTGCAGCTTTGTTTGTAAATACAAAAAAAAAATGGCACCTGCTAAAAGAATTATTAGCAAGGTCCACCACCAAGAGAGTTGCCGGAGTATTGTAAATGTGTGTTACACAGTATATTACAGCTGTGGCTATGTCAAATATCGTCAAAAACAGATGGTAGCGCAAATGTACGTTACAGTTTGTGTAATTTAACAATGTAGAACATGTGAAATGTATTTGATGTATATTTATCCAGTAAAATACAAAAACATGCATAGGAATGATATGTACCAAATCATGCTGATATTTGCTAGGGTAAGAGGAAGGAGTGGGATTACAGAGGAGCACGTAGTGCTTCACTTATGACCTGTAATATTTTCTCAAAAGCTGGGTAGGTGGAATATGAGACAAGTGTGGGAATGCAAAACTGGGTCATTTATTTTACCTTTTAGATTTTCTGTTGTTTGTTTTGTTCATGTTTCCAGAGATTCATTTTTTCATATTGCTTTAAATCACTTTAATTTATTAAAGATAGTTAAAGATATTTCTTCATAATCTACAATTTTGAATTCATTTGTTTGTATGGCCTTACTTAGAAAGGGCCGCTCCAACCTGAGAATAGGTAAGTGTTCAAATATAGATTCTTGGTTTTGCTGTTTCAGCTTGCGTATTTTAAATCTTAATCCATTTATAATATATTTTGGAATTTAATATGGAATATTTAGAAATATCTTGCCCTCATGCCATTTATTAAATAATCTTGAAGTATCTTTATGTAGTAAATTCTTCATTGTTTTGTTGATCTTTCTGAGTATAAGTGTCTTTCTGTTCATTTTAGTCAATTAATAATACCTGCAGATGAGCTCATCATATTTAAAGGGTAAAACAACACGGTGGTTCTCTGCGCTGCCCATCCCCATCTCATTCTCTGCGCTCCTCCTGCAGATGCGGCTGTTCTGCACTCAGCTGTCTCTGCTGCGATTTGTACATCTGTATTTCTCAGTAGTGTGCGGATACTGCTGCCATTGACCGATAAGTTTTAGATGTCTATGACTATTGTAATAAAAGGACTTGGCTTTCTAAGTCATTTTAAAATAAAGTGTGTGTGATTTCAGTTTTTAGAATATGCTTCTGAAAAAGTTACAGCTGAGCATCATCATAGACAGTGCTTATTGTTAGCTTTTGGTTTTCCTGGAATCAGTAATTGCATTTTTCTTCTGGGTCAGTTTTCCATAAGGTCAGTCACATTATATCTAATAATCCAAAAGGTCCCGATTTTTTTTATGGGCAGCTTCCCTCCTGGAATATTCCATTCTCCTTGGCAGGGTCGCTCTCAAGGCCTACCAGCAATCTTGTTAATGGGGCTTGTTGACTTTTAGCTTTATGGATAGTGTGAATGGGATCTTCGTTCCACTCTAGTTTTTAACAGGTTTTGGTTGATACATTGGGAACGTATTGGTAATGAAATGTCAGAAAATATGTTTGTGTTAATGACTATTAGCGTCTATGATATATGTTGGTTTCCTTAACTTTCCTCCAAGTCATGTTTATAACTACTGTACTAGTGTTCACCAGTCAAACCAAGCACGAGGAGCTGGAGTTCCTCCTTCTAAGTCAAAAAAGGGGCAGACGCCTGGAGGAGCTCAGTTTGTTGGCCTGGAATTATACAAACGACTTAAGGAATTTTTGAAGAATTACTTGACAAATCTTCTTAAGGTAAGATGTTTTACATATATATGTACTGAGAATTCACAAGAGGATGTAAAAAGGGAGTGAAATAATGGTTCTAACTTATTTGATAAATGTTTCACTGTCATCTGTTCATTGTTTCAGACACTAATGTGGGTGACAATGTTTTGCTATTGCATAGTCTTTACCTACTGTTGAATATGAAACCATCATAAACTATATTCTGGGGGTTTTGTTCTTTCGAGGTGGAGGTCTCACTATGTTGCCCAGGCTGGATTTGATCTCCTGGTCTCAAGTGATCCTTCCACTTCCACCTCATGAGTAGCTGGGACTCTGCAAATGCTCACCACCGTGCCCAGCTCATTTTGTTTTTTTAAAATTGGAAAGCTTTGATAACCTTTTAGCATAATAGTACTTTCCTTAAATTACCGCCATTTTGGATTTTGTTGTTAGAAATGATGAACTTTTTCATTTAAAGCAAACGTATTCAAATTACCTGCATTTTATTGTGAACTCAATGTGTAGTGTTCTCTGTCAAAGTGTTACCAACAACTGTAAGGTTATTCAGTCTTGGAAATCATGGTTTTCAAATGTGATCTTGCTCTTTACACATGGTTGTGAAGTACCCTTTTTTTTTTTTTTTTTTTTTTTTTTTTTTTTTTTTTAAAAAGACAGCCTCTTGTTCTGTAGACAGCCTAGGCTGGAGTACAGTGGTGCAATCATAGGTCATTGCAGCCGCCCACTCCTGGGCTCAAACAATCATCCTGCCTTAACCTTCTGAGTAGCTAGGACTACTGGTGTGCACCACTGTACCCAGCTCCCAGCTAATTTTTAAATCTCTTGTAGAATCAGGGTCTCTCTGTGTTGCCCAGGGTGGTCTGCCAACTCCTGGGCTCAAGCAGTCCTTCTGCCTCAGCCTCCCAAAGTGTTGGGATTACAGGTGTGAGCCACTGTGTCTGGCCATGATGTGTATTTCAAAACTGCTGTGAAATTGTGCTCGTGGCTAGGATGAGTTTCACTGTGAATATCCATTTCCTTCTAGCATAGGTCTCTCCCACTCCAAGCCTTTGCTTGGGCAGTGGTGGAGACTTTTCCACTTCATCTCCTGCCTTTTTCTTCCTCGATCTTCATCCCTTTGTAGCAAAGGCAGTGTGACTCCTTGTATCTAGCCACAAGATGAGCAACTGGCTCCTTCTTCTGGTTCTGTACTGTCATGGAGTGAAGACAGCTGTATTCTCAACCCAGAGAAATTTGCAGGAACCTTCTGTGTATATATTTTAAACATTTTTTATTTATACAACGTGCAGAAATGTCTGCATCGTGCAAAATTCTTTTACCTAATTTATTTTTACACGCTAATTGAAAACTTAAATATCATGCTAATGACTATACATAGTTGATTGGCCACAAGTTGTGTCTAGTGTATTATTTTCATCTTCCCAAATGGTGTGTCTAAGGTCTTGCTGAAGCCATTGTTCTTTTTATTCACAACACATTGTAAAGTGAATGTTGTAATTAATTATTCTTTAGTACTAAAATAAGAAACAGTGTATTATGCTATATAAAAATGTTGATGGCCATGCCATCAGTGATACTTTTGCATTTTAAAAAGGTCAAATACCATCATCGAAAATAGCTTAGCTTTACATTTTAAAGTTCATTTCATATTATTTAAATTTAAATGAATAAAAAATTGGTCGTGTTGAGATGATCAGGTTTTTCCATAGATTGTTCTGTCACTCGTGTACCTTATATGTGTGGAGCTTCAAGTCTGTCATAGCCATTTAGTTTTCACTGAAGACGCTGAGGCTCAGAGAAGCCAGTGGGCTCAGCCCAGCCCTTCCTGCAGGGAGGAGCCCCCATCTTCCTCTTTGTGCTTCTCTGCTGCACACACCTAAACGGCAGTGCCAAGAACGTTTTTAAAGGGTAAGGCTTACTTGGTAGATGCCATTAATTCCTAAGAAAAAATTTCAAGTTAGTCTCCTTCAAATAAAAATGCGTGGCTTAAGTTGTGGAAATCTGGATAAAAATTTTGGTAAATGAACGTTTTCCTTATGAGGTCTTGTTAAGAAATATTGTTATACCATTGTACATTATTTTTTACAGATTACCACAAAAAAGTGTTTTCATGATTTTTAAGTAAATTTAAAGAAGGAAGAAGATGCATTTAAAAATTGAATAGTATTAGCCTTGTGGTCTAAATTGCTGATTAGTACATATTGATTTGATTTTTTTTTTTTTTTTTTTTTTTTTTTTTTGAGGCTGAGTCTCGCTCTGTTGCCCAGGCTAGAGTGCAGGGACGCAATCTTGTCTCACTGCAACCTCCGTCTCCTGGGCTCAAGCAGTTGTCCTGCCTCAGCCTCCTGAGTAGCTGGGACTGCAGGCATGTACCACCACACCCAGCTAATTTTTGTATTAGCAGAGATGGGGTTTCACCGTGGTGGCCAGGCTGGTCTCAAACTCCTGACCTCAAGTGATCGGCCCACCTCGGCCTCCCAAAGTGCTGAGATTACAAGTGTGAGCCACTGCACCCAACCAATTTTTTTTAAACAAAATATCAAAAATACAGATGATTTTGAGGTAAATTTCTTAATAAAAAGGAATTACCTGTATATCCTAATTGTTCAGGGTACTTTTCTTTGAGTGTGTGTGCATATTTAATACGATGAAAAATGTTCCAGTTTAATTTGA